TCTTGGCTGGGGCTACAATCAGCTCCAGGCTCAACTGGGCAAGATCTGCTTCTAAGCTCCCTCGTGTGATTGCTGATGGGAGGCAGTTCCTGTGGCTGTTGGACTGAGGGCTCCAGTTCCTCCCTGGATGTTGGCCGGAGGCTGCCCTTGGTCCCTCCTCACATGGGCCTCTTCATAGGGAAGCTGACAACATGGCAGCTGGATTCCTCAGAGTGAGCAAGAGAGAGTGAAGGAGAGAGAGAGAGAGTGGGAGCAGGAGGGAAGTCAGAGGCTTGTATAACCTGGTGTCACTGAGTGACATCCATCACGTTTGCTGTGAGCAAGTCATTAGGTGCAGCCCACATTCCAGGGAGGGGGTCACACAAGGATGTGGACACGAGGCGAGGGTATCTTTGGGAGACAAGTAAGAAGTTCCTTCTACAATTATGCATTTAGTGCTAACAGAAAGTCTGCTAGGTAACCACGAGTAACCTATTCCAGATCACACTTTACTAGAACTACCAGGACTTAATTCCAGAACTTTTTCAAATGTATTATCCTTGGCTGCCTCTGGAGAATCTAGGGAGTTACTAAGGATTTCATTTAAAATGTGGATTCTGTAGTTCTCCTTCATTTTTGATGCGAAAACACTCACGCTTCCTGTTCGCAATGCCCTAGGTGTCTGCAGCACTGGGGCCAAGAGTCCTGGAGCACATGGTTCTGGAGCCCACGTTCCTCTGAAGAAGATCCGAGGAGCTTCTGTGTTGTTTCATGTGACAAAGGAGCCAGGAGCTAAGCTGGAGGAGGTCTCGTGGGGCTTTGGCCCTGAGTCAAACTACAGAGTCCTGCTGAAAGTCCGTCCTGGGACAGATGCTCCAACCTGGATCAGCCTCCAGGACAAGTACCAGCAGAGGGTCCATGTGCCCAACATGACGTCCCTGAAGATTGAGAACCTGACATCTGAGGACAGTGGGCAGTACCGGGCTCGCATCAGCTTTGCTGGAGGAATAGAACGTACCCAGGTTTTCCCCCTCATTATCTATGGTACGTGACACCCCCCACCCCATCCCATAGCTCACTTCCTTCTTTTGTCACATAGGAGTGTCACATAGGTCTCATTTTGCAGGATTCCTTCCAGACAGCAGCCTTCAGACTTTATTTTACTGTTTAAAATTAGGGTCAGTGGGTTCACAAGAAATGGAGAGCAGAACTGAGATTCGCACCAAGGATAACATCACTTCAGTGTTTTGGGAGAGGAGTGTGAAAATCTAGGGAAGTGACATTGCCACATTATTGTTCTTCATAGGTCTAAATCTGCTTAGTTTGTGTATTCATCGTCTGTTGCTGCTATAACAAATTGCTGTAATTTAGAGGCTTAAAACAACGCAAATTGACTATTTTACTGTGCTGTAGGTCAGAAGTCAGACATGGGTCTCACTGGATCAAAATCAAGGTGTTGGCAGGGCTGTGTTCCTTTCTAGAGGTTCCAGAATGAGATTCATTTATTTGCATTTTCCACCTGCTAGTGGCTGCTTACATTCCATGGCTCGAGACCACTTTCCTCCACCTTCAAACCTGGCAATAGTGGGACCAGTCCTCCTCACTTTGTATCCCTCTGACTTCCTCCTCTTCTTCCTCCTTCCATGTGATTACGTTGGTCCCATCCAGATAATTGAAACAGTCTCCTTATTTTAAAGTCCGCTCATTAGCAACCTTAATCCCATGTTACCTTAATGCCACTTTGCCAAGTAATCTAACATATTCACAGGTTCTGAGGATTGGATGTGGACAAATCTGGGGCGACTAGTCATCTACACAGTTCAGAAATCCATGTGTAGTTAGTTCAGCTGCCCTCTCTCCTTTTATTCAGCACCAGCCCAAGGCCAGCCTCACTTACAGACTCCACAAATCCAGCTCAAAAAGCCTCAATAGATGAAGGGAGAATCTTATGATGCAACACTTTCTAAGAACCTCACTTAGCCAGCACTTTCTTTCCTTAAGTTTCCTGTCTGCATGGGAAGATATCTGCTATGAGAGAGTGGCTTTTGCAGCAATGATTCCCATGTGATTTTCTTTCCTTCCTTCCTTCCTTCCTTCCTTCCTTCCTTCCTTCCTTCCTTCCTTCCTT